CAATTCACCCCAGTGACACTGAAGAAGACAGTTCTCTCCCTGAAAGGAAATCTCAGATAAAATCTCCTAATGGTTTTCTCCATTTCATAAAGACCTATTTTGACACTATTTTCTTCAACTTCAATAGTAACACAAAGTGAAAAATTAAACAGTATATCACTCAGCCTATCAGATTCATGATTTTAAAATATATTGGCCATGGAAAAGTTTTGGAATACTTGTAGTTAGGAACATTGGAATAAATATGACCACTCAGAAAATGCATATGGAAAGAACCAAATAACCCCACCAGCTCAGGGAAAAATGAAGAAGAGAGAAAAGTGCTAAAGGTATAAGGCACTTTAGTGGAAAATCCTAACTGCAGGGTAAGGAAATTCGGCTGTTTAGACTAGGAGTGGGGAGCTTGAAGGCATAACAGTAGTGATGAAGTTAATGATGAGGTAAGGTGTGCAACCACCAGTTGTCGTTCATATCTACCAATAACAAAAGACTGGAGAATAACTTCTGGGGTTACAATATAACTTCTGCCAAAGAAAGAAATAATATAAACCATTGTTAACCTGCCCAAATTCCAGTCCCTTGAAGGAAAACTGTTTTGGATACTGTGCTTGTGTAAGGTACTGGACACTTAGATGAGTCTAAGGTACTAGACACTTAGATACCCTAAGGATCCAAACTCCAACTAACCTTGTCTTTCAGAGGCTGTGGCCGCTGTCCTTGTCCATTTGCCATTAAAGTTGGGCACAAGAACACCAAGAAGTCACCATGAATCTCCTGGGCACCAAAATATCCATCCTGCAACCATTGAGTGGCCTTAGCTCTAATTATTCCTGTGTTTCACTGGCAGGGGGGTACTGGGGATTGAATTCAGGGGGCACTCAATCACTGAGCTAATCCCCAGCCCTATTTAGTATTTTATTTAGAGACAGGGTCTCACTGAGTTGCTTAGTGCCTCGCTTTTGCTGAGGCTGGCTTTGAACTCGCAATCCTCCTAACTCAGCCTCCCAAGCTGCTGGGATTACAGGGTGCTCCACCACACACACACCCCCTGTTTCATTTTTTTGCCTGCTCTTCTGTTGACACGTGGAACAGAAGTGCCCCAGCAATGGCCATAGCTGATTCAATGGGATCTTCACTGTGTCCCTGGATGGAAGTGTCCCCTTCTAGACCTGCAGAGTTAATACACTATAGGGAAGGGAAGTGTAAATCCCTAGGAGGTTTGCTGAGAGTGATGGAAAGTGGAACCACATCTACTTCTATTCCTTAATTTCCAGACCCTGGGACATTGACTTAGGTTGCCTAGAAGGGTGGTAGCTTATCCTCATGGGTATTAACTCTAAAATGAGATCTTGGCTGCTCTTAGAGAGGCTGTTTGCTATTCTAATGGTCTGGTAGGTTCTGGGTGATGAAGAATGTGATAGAGTTAGTGACTCCCATGGTCATGTGCCAATTACCCTTCCTCTTTTGTCTGAGGTAGGATTTTAGCTTTGATCTCTTGATGATCTCCAGGAATCCAATTTTGGTGCTGGTTGAAGCCCCACAAACCCACATACAGAATATGACTTGATCCCTGTCAGGATGGCAGCTACTCCTTCTATTTTGCAAGAGATCTGATACAGTCAAGTGGCCACCAAGTGGCTGGTTCATTTCCTTAGAGCGTGGTCCTGTATCATGGTTCCTTGTTAGTTGGTGCTGCTGATAGATTGGATTTTTAGCAACAGCAATAGCTAGATCAGCTCTTGGACCATATGTAGCCTCCACTCCAACTACCATGGCTACTCTGTTAATGAACTCATTATGTCAACACTCAGGCACTAATGACGTCTATTGGCTGAGTCAGGGAAATTGCACTTGCTAGTGTTCTGACAGCACTTTGCCCCAAAACGTAATATTCCATGTTAAGACTTCCTTGTTGCAAAAAGAGCAAGATGAACTTTCCTCCATGTGGGTGTAAGGTTAGGCCCTACAGGACATGTTGACATTTTCTCAATTTGTAAAATCATTATAAGTTGTACATTATTATTTGAAGTGATCTTACTACCATAAATAAAGTTTTAAAGATATTCATACAACTGTATCTTTATACATAAAGATTATTTTGACATAAGTCCCTTAAGATGTCATTGCTGGGTCAATGCCATATCAAATTCTAAAGTTTCCCACATAATTCATTAGATCACTGTCCTAAATAATACTAATGACTCGCTTTTACCCATCAATATTTAAGGTACTGATTCCCCAAGCTTAGGTCAACATTAGATTTAATGATAATAACAATTTTTCCTAGATTGGTATATAAAAGCCTATTAAATCTTCTATTTCATTTTTTATTATTAACAATACATAAAATGCTCTTCCTATTCTCATTACCCATAGATATTTCTTATTCTAAAAAGGTTTCTCTTTATACCCTCCATGTCTTTGTAGAGGTCATCTCTCCTAAGTTAAAACTCTGTCACCTCATTCCAAGTTAAGATAATCATTCAAGTTCATTTAAAGTTAGTTTCAAAATATAAATTTCTATATGCAACTTATTATAATATTTTTCATTTAATAATTCCATTAATGTCAAAATCAAATCATATATTTGATAAAAATTCAGCTTCATTTCCTATAATTCCTTTCCAACTCAATAATATTGGCCTTGTCATGCACAATGAATAACTCTTGCCGAGTTTCCTGGCCAACTAAAAGGTAATAAATCTCTTCTTATTATTAAAATACTTGTACTATACTAGACTATTATATGCAGCTTAAGGCTAATGATACTCTAACTTATATCAATCTTTTCTTCAATTTTAATCAATAAGAAGGGGGAAAAACAGGACCATACTTGCCCATGATAAATCTCACAAAAATATTTTAAACAATTTCTTTATATTGTGATACTAAGATCTTACTGCTGGAGTACATCCTGGTACAATATGTTAAATCAGATTGCAAAGGGGAGAATCTAAACCTGTCATCATGAAAACCACTGAAAAACCTGACATGGGAATGTAAAATCCAACCCCAATGTTACAGCCATGCAGGATTCATGAGCTGTCAGGTGAGGAAATCTATGGAAAGACTTCCCTGAACTCAATGCCCCAGGCCCCCTTTAATGTACCTTACAATGTGGACTGGAGAATCCAACCCAATATTTATTAATGATACTCATATGATGGATGATCTTATACATACTCACATTACACCTCCATGTGACTGGATTTCAGCATACTAGCTACAGTAGGAACCTAACTATATGTTGGTCTCATAATGTCATAATGGCTATTTAAAGGTACCTTTTATGGAAAGGTCAACTTGGGAAGGACCTAGACCAGCCAATCATACTGGTCTTTAGAATTTAAGACACTGTGTATATATCTGGACAGGTGTCAAAAGAGAATGATTATTGAAATACAACTTTCCCATACAAGCCAGATATTGCCACAGAATATCCACCAATATTTTACTGTCCTCATCAATCTACAATAAAATCTGGCATCTTTCCTAAATGAATGAACTATACAAATGGTTTGCCAGTGCAACATAAAATCCTGAGAGGTGATAGATATATTTTCGATTGATTAAAAAATTGATAAAAGACAGTCATATCAAGATTATTTAATGATAATTTGAGTTCTACATAATTATTGTATTCTTTCAGGCTTATGTCTGACTCTGTATTGACTATATTTGTGGACATAAGCCATTCTCTCATGATGCTATGATACCTGAAAGTTTCACTGATAATATCTTAACCTTCAGCAGAGGCAATATCCAAAAAAGATATTTGGCGCTAAATTGCAGCCTCAGATTATACATTATACACATAGTCCTATGCCTGATTTTGAAGGCAGAAATTGCAAAGAAGGTTCCTGCAATGTCTTTGGGCCTGTGTTCAATCTTCTTATGCTTTAATTACTGGATATGTAGGAGTTAAGAAAAGGGGCAAGAATGAGCCAGAGGTTTTAAAAACCTACATGGCAGCACAGGATATAATCCACCATGTTTTTCTCACTTGGAATGCTGTTCCTGCATGTTCTCCACATCTCCACCCCCACAACATTCAAAACCTACCCCAAGCAAGCCCCACCTCCCCAAGAATTATGCTCTGACCCCACCAGCTCCACCTATGCCAGACACCATGCTGACGGGTTTATGAGCATCGTCCCATTGGACCCTACAGTAATCTGTCAGGAATGATTGTCCTTACTAAGAGGGTGAGGCTCAGGGAGATTAAAGCCTTTCTTATGGCTTTGGTATGGCAGAGATGGGAGTGACACCTGGTCTGCATGACTCCAAAGCCTGTGTTTGTAAGTCCTTTCTGCAGGACACCACCTCCCCAGCATCACCCAGTTCTGTAGTCAGAACTTGGGGTCCCTCTGGAAAAGATCCCTCTAGCGCTTCTATTCTCATATTGTCCCGTGGCATAGACTTACTCAGAATGAAATACTTGTTCATTTATTTGGGGGAGATTGAGGGTTGCAGTGGTTGAGTTCAGAGAATGAGGAAAAGAAATTTAATATTCTCAATATAAGATACCAAACATTAAGGACATTGTTTTATTCAACCCTGATTTAATGCTTGCAGCATCTTTGGTAGAGACAGTCTCATTGTTTCTGAAGTTTGTGAAAAATTGACTAATTCACCTAACGCCATATCACAGGTGAACAGTAGAGCAGACCCTCCACACATTTCATTTCCCAATGATGCTCATTCCCACCACTTACAATGAGCTTTCTGAGTCCAACAAGCCAGACCTACAGTTAAATCTGGTTCCCAATAGAAGCTCTGTAGAGCATCCATGACTCTTCGTGGGAATGTGTTTTGAGAAATGTAAGGTCACTACATAAATTTAAAAGAGGGAGGACTGCCAAGTTTCAAAAGGGCAGGAACAATCCTTGGCTTCACCCCAGGGAATGAAAGACCATTCCAAGGACAGGAAGGAGGAAAGGTGGAGGCACCTGGACAGAAAAAAAAAACACGGCGTTTAGATAAAAAGGTAGAAGAGCTGGGGTGGAGCTAAGTGGGGACGTGCTCACTCCTGGGGACTGTGAGGAGACAGTTTTATTCCTTACCAAGATGAAGCTCCTGCTGCTGAGTCTGGGACTGACCCTGATCTGTGCTCACACAGAAGGAAACCATGATGCTGTGACAAGTGACTTTGATCCATCCAAGGTAAAACTGTGGAGCATTACAACTTTTGATGTTAAAGGGTGGCATGTTAAAGGAGTGGGTTCAGACCTGAACTAAGAGCAACTGTGCCATATTAAAATGCAACAGTGCCGGGGACTTCCGATTTCACTGAAGAGACAGTGGAAATGTCCTAGGTGTCCTGTCAAATGATCTGAGTTCTAATTCCCTCTTCTCATCCTGAGCCCTGCCCCATAGGCCAAGAGTTCAAGGGGAAGAGTGTCTGTGTGGCATTCCCTCTCCTCTTTTCTCACTTAACCATTTTTCTTATTTATTGCAGTATTCAGGGGAGTGGTATTCCATTCTCCTGGCCTCTGATCATAAGGAAAAGATAGAAGAAAACGGTAGCATGAGGGTTTTTGTGGAATATATCCATGCCTTGAAGAACTCTTCGTTAGGCTTTAAATTCCATATAATGTGAGTATGGCTTTTTTTGTTGGGAAAGGGAAAATGAATGAGTAGGTATGGTCTTAAACCTAAACACACACACACACACACACACACACACAACTCATGCACACAGACATGTGCACATACATACTGAGCCTGCATCCAAAATCACAGTCCCTCAGTTGAACTGATCCAGGACCTGATGGACCTGGGACTTTTCAAGATTCACTGATAAAGAATTGGTTACAGGACTAAGTTTATTAGAAGTGGAGGATGCAGAAGGCAGAGGGGTATCAGAATCAAGGTTAGCTGACAATATGGAATAGTTCAAGAGCATGGGATTTAGAATCAACAGACTGAATTTGATTTTTACCAGCTGTTGACCAACAAAACCCATCCCTGACCAGGTGTGGTGGTGCACAACTTTAATCCCAGTGGCTCAGAGGCTGAGGCAGGAGGATCATGGGTTCAAAGCTAGCTTTAAAACTTAGTGAGACCCTGTCACTAAATAAAATATGAAAAATGGCTGAGGATGTATCTCAGTGGTTAAGCACCCCTTGGTTAATCCCTACTACCATAAAAAAAGAATTCATCCCTTCCCACCTTCATTTTCCATGGACAAAAGCTGGTGATAAAGATTCTTCCTCTTGATTTCTTGTGAGGGCTGAGTCAGGTGATGTTCATAAAGAACTCAGCTGAGAGGCACCATTAGTGCATACTTAGCTAATGATTTTAACGAGTGGTTGTGGCATATTAGTAGTAAGTATGGTAATTAGTAGTAACAATGGTGACAAGCAGTTCAAGCACTTTTTAAGTCATTTCCCAAGTATCAAAGTAAATGAAACAATTATGAAGAAAATCTGTTTGTTAATTGTACAAAAAATATTCAAAAGTTAGGTGGAATCAGAAACCCAGGTTATAGGTAGAATAGGGGATGAGGAAGCCAGCCTCAACAATATGTCCTGGGCATCAACTCGTTCTTTTTTACAGTATAAATGGAGTATGTGCTGAAATTGAGTTTGTTTGTGACAAAACAGAAGAGGATGGTGTATATTCTGTTGAATGTAAGTAGACCACAAATGTTCTTTCTAAATTATATTTCCAACTGCAAGGAATTCACTGAACTCCAATATCATCAGGATATTTATCAATGACTCATTAATTCTTATTAAAGTAATATAATAGGGGCCATCTAATAGCCAATGTCCTGTATATAGGAAAAACGTATGTGCAAAAGCCAATTCCTATAATACCATCAAAGAAAGAATGCAGTCTGGTCAGACGTAGCTCCTTCTGCAATAAAGGTAATTGGCAGGAGGGGAAAGGTAAACTGGGTAGGACAGCTGCTCCTTTTCTGCCATCTGTGTGATTATGCCTGGGGGCATTGCCACACATATAGCCCAGGATGTAGCACCAGATATGTAATTCCAGAGGGCTTATTGGGAAGACAGAGAGCATTATTGACAGAGATGGTGAGGGAGGTGGACAGGTCTCAGGACGATAGAGGGTGAGTTGCTGCTGAGACTGAATGTTCTACACTCATGGTCTATTTACCAGTGTCCTTTTTAGAAGTCCTTCATGACGCCTGGGGAGTTACAAAAGGAAGGCATTAGCCATCTTCACTGTGTCTTCTAGAAGATGCATTGTATTTTTTCATGGGAAAGAATAGGTAAAAAGTTTTCATTGCCTCCCAAAAACCAAAGAGGTTCTGAGCTGTATTCTGTTTCCTTCACAGATGATGGACATAATACATTTAAAGTACTCGAAACGGACTATGATGACTACATTATTTTTCACCTCATAAATAAAAATAATGGGAATACATTCCAACTTATGGAGCTCTATGGTAGAGTATTTTCATGCGCACACTCATCTTGGGTGGGAGGAAAGGGAAGGAAGGAAGCCTAGACACAAAATGATCTCACCGAGGTTATCCTGGACCCTATCTTCCCCACTGAAGACAGATGTATACCTTTGGGAGTCCTCAGGCTCACTGAGGGGAAGATCATGAGATCTCTCATTGTGCCAGAAAGATGTCTCATTGATGTCAGATTCAGAACAGGTCCTGACATACAATTGTCACCATCCATTTTCCTGTTCTCCTGGAGCCCTGTCCTCTCATTCTCCTCTATCCTCAAGACATAAGTCACAGCAGTAATGTCACTACTCTCACAGGTCGAGCACCAGATGTGAGCTCAGAACTCAAGCAGAAATTTGTGAATGTTTCTGAAAAATATGGAATTGTTAAGGAAAACATATTGGACCTGACCACTGTTGGTAAGTTTAGCTAGCTGGCTTTCTCCTCCTGAACTTCATGTCCACAGAAAAGGAAAATCCAAGGGAAGATAATCAGCCTCCTTTGTGCCAACATGGAGAAGCATCCAATTTCTCTTAGGGAAAAAAAATAGGGATGGTCTCTCTGAATGTCTTCTGTTGTGCCTCTGCAGACCGCTGTATCCAGGCCCGAGGTGGAACACAGTCCTGAGTCTCCAGGTAGGTGATCTCTGACCCTCATGCAGAGGGGGTGGACCAGGGAACAGTGCCTTCCCAAACCATGAGGGACTTGTGCCCAAAGATTGCATGAAGGAAAACAAGATCGAGGGCTTTCTGTACTCTCTATAAGCCCACTGGCAGTACACATCTGGTGCTCTGCCCTGGGCAATGTGCTGTGGCAATGTCACACAGATGGCAGGCAATGAGAAGCTCTCCTACCCAATTTACTTTTTCCCCTTCCAACTATCTTTGTTGCAGAGGGAGGTACACATGACCAAATTGTACACAGTTTTCAGTTGCATGACCTTGGGTCAGGACCCAGTCTTACCATGAACTTTTGCACAAATGGCCTAAGCAACCAAAAGAGGAAGCAGTGACGTGCTCCTTATAGAGTGCTGCGAGCAGGGGATGAGGAGAAAAAGGCTCAGTTCCTGATAATGCACTTAAGGTTATCAGGACGTGAAGGTTGAAATAGAATAACAATAATAGGGTGTGAGTAGGAAACACATATAAATATGAATCTATGTTTGTGGTCCATCTTCCAAGCCCAGGAAGCCATCTCACCTTCCAGTTAGGATCAGAATGTCTTCTCTGACTCTGCACATCCTTGACTTCTCACTCCAGAATGGAACTGACTGATCTTTCCATTGTCCTCCAACCTGAAGAACAGAATTGGGTTTAAAAAAATAAGAACTTCCCTTTGTCCTCAGTTCAATCCCAGGAATGAGTGATGAGTTTCTGTGTTCTCTCCAGGGCAGAGAGAAAGTTTCCCCACCTGGGCTCCAGCATCATCTATCTCCTTCCTCACTGCTACACCATCTTATGACCTGTTCTGTCACCTGATTTCCACCACTGTCACATATGAATGTGTCATCCTGGATCTCGAGGATCTTCTCAGATTGCTGAGGAAGATTCATCCAATCACCAAGAATCAAAGGCTTTCTCTAAATTTCTCTCTTTGCCACACCCAGGTCAACTCTACATGAAGAAGGTCTTTCTCTATCCCCTCAATAAATGATCAGCCCTGGAGTCCTGTGACTTGTCCTTGTTCTGGGAGAATGGGAGGCTAAAGTGGGAGGATGAGAGGACCTCCTGGTCCCAGCACCAGTTTCCTCCTCCAGTGTCTCAGAGTCTACTCTGAGTTTCAGGATTCTCCCTTGTCCTGCAGTAATCCTCGGACCATCATCCCAAGTCCCCAGAAGGCTGCTTGCCCTTTTATTTGCATATTTTAGTGACCCCATAAGACCCTTTTGTGTACTGTAAGAATATAAGACTTGCTCCATAGTTTCTTTATCCTAGAATTCTCTTTTTCAGTGTAACACTGCAAGAGTGGCAGTGCTGTGACAGACACCAGCTCAATGTGGTTTGGTCATGTCTTGTGCGAAAATAAAGGCTCTGTCATTATAGGCTCAAAGATTAATGAGAGAACACTATCAACACATTTGAAGCTCCCTGTATCTCTCTATGTCTCCAGATCAGAAAACTAAATCAGGTTCAGGTGTATTCCTCCTCAAATACTTGGTCTGGTTGCCAATATATGGCAAAAGGCTATGTAGAAAGCCCACCAGTTATGGTAGGATCCTGCCCACCTCCTTTTTTGAAATGGGTTTCACAATGTTGTCCAGGCTAGCCTCAAAGTTCCTTGCCCAAGCCATCCTCCTACCTCAGCCTCCTCAGTACAGGCACATGCCACCACAGCTGACTTGCCATTCCTTAATGATGGCATTTAAGGGACAGGAAAGCTGAGGCCCAGACTGCATGATCCAATCTCCCAGAGAATACTTAGAAAATAAATAACAGTAGCAAGAGCCACATTGATGATGGGAAATAGTGGGCCGTACCACATGCCGAGAAAATACAGCCCAAAGAGAAGGGTATTGCACAGAAGATGGAAGGAGACCCTCATTGTTATACAAAAATACATATAAGAGGATGTGAGGGGGAAGGGGGGGAAAAAAAGAAATGAGTTACAGTAGATGGGGTAGAGAGAGATGATAGGAGGGGAGGAGAAGGGGGATAGGAAGGGGATAGAAAAGGCAGCAGAATACAACAGACACTAGTATGGCAGTATGTATAAACGTGGCTGTATAACCAATGTGATCCTGCAATCTGTACACGTGGGAAAAATAAGAATTCATACCCCATTTGAACCAAATGTATGATATATGATATGTCAAATCATTGTAATGTTTTGAGCAACCAATAAAAAAAAGAAAGAAAAAAAATACAGCCCAGAGAAAGTCATGAAAACCCGTGTCTATCCCCAGATCAAGACAGCTCACACCTAGACCCACCCCTTCAACTCCAAATACTTTGTGCAAATGAGACACGAAATATTCAGAACACTCAAAGACAGAGAGGAATGTCTATAGATCAGAAGCAGAGCAAGCCCTTTCTAAAGAAAGAAAAGGGGAAACCACGTGGGAACCAGAGAGTAAACGGAGCAATGCTGTCCTCTGGGATCTGAGGACAGATCTGAGACAATGATCCATGGTTGGGGGCAAGTGTCACAAAAGCTAGGCAAGGGTGCGGGCTGAAGATGCACCTCCAAGGTCCAGGAGCTGAGCCAGAGAGACCCACCCCTTCAACTCCAAAGGACTTGGACAGCTCCTCTCCCCTACCTGGAGTCACAGAAAGAGGCTGTGGGCCTGTGGTTGCAGAAGTGACAACTTCCAAACTTTAGGAAAAGCACCCCTTAATCTCCTGGGACTGGCCCGACTCTCACATTTAGGCTTCAGTGTTTTCTCAGCTGGCCTGACTATCCTGGCTGGGCTCTAGATTGTTCTGGTGGACATGAACCATCTCATAAAACACCAACATGAAACAAGGGCTCTCTGAGATAAGAAAAACAGAATACTTTTGCAATCCACTAACACAATTCTCTCCTGGCTAAATTGAGTCACAGCTACTTTTCTACCAATTGCAGATTTATGTCTATCTCCATTTCTTGTTCGTAAGCTTTATTGAGCTCTCCAACCATTGAATTGTCCCTGAAATTCTGATTGCACCCAACTTAGAGCTCCTCTGGACCTCCCCAAATCCTATAGAAGTTTCTTCCTATGACTCTTTCTGAGATGCCCAGTTCCCCTTGGTGAGTGTTCTTTCTAGCTGCAACAGTAAATCCAACTTCTTGATTACACATGTGTTCCTAGTGGTCTTTGGTGGAAGGGTATTAACATTTTTAGGACAAGAACCAGGTGTCCTCCATGCAGGGGAAGCACCAGGCTGAATCACAAATGCAAGGCTCGGTTTGACACTGTGTACCCATCAGGGGCCAGAACACAGAATGCCTTCAAGAATTTTGGCCTAAGCAATTAAAAAACCATTTAATCCAGTCAGTTGGAGGCATGAATTTAGTGGGGAAAGCTACATATCTCTGTTGAACATACCATTAGTCTATCTAGGTGGGCTGCTATCAGAAAGAGATGCAGGTGTAATCCAGTATGGTTTAATGAAGATGGGATTAATTTCTCCCCTATGAACATCTGAAGTGAATATTCCCTGCAGTCATTCAGGAACCCGCTTCTTTCTATACACTACTCCCTAGGACAATGTCCTCATCCGCAGGGGTTAAAGCTGAGTTGTAAGAGGTAAGCAAAAATAGATGGTGGGGAAGCATGGACTTCCCTCCACTCCGCCCTGGGAGGTTCTTCCAAGTTCATCCTCCTTCATGGCCACTACCCACTTCCTGCTTGCACAGGTTTAGAGAGATTACTTTCAGAATTAAAATACCATATAATTTGCTATTGGTTAGGCCCAAGTTTCTTTTGGCAATATAAATTCCTCAAAAGCTTAATAGATTTATGGTGCACTAACCTCTTGATTTCTCCCATGGACAGATAACTGTACTCTTAGAAAATATTTAAGCCTGAAAACTCTGCCATGGTCTAGGTCAGCCTCTATGATCTGCCCACCCTTTCCTTTCCTTTAACAGTGGTTTGACAACATCTAAAGCAAGAGATTTGGGTGGGATGGGTCCTTCAATCTCGTCTTCACCAGCGGTCTCCCTACCTGTCACAGCAGCAGCTTTATCTCTTACTAAGCCTGGACACCCACTTCCTGTCACTGCTTACAATGCTTCACTTTGGGATCCCAAAGCAGTGGCACTCAGTCAACTTCCAGTGAGGCTGCAGGTAGGGAGGGCATCTTTTAGTGATGCTCTGCTACTGTGCCTCTTCACTTGCAGCTTGGCTGCCTCTAGCCCCAGCCCCTCCCTCTTGTGAGTTTTGCTGAAAGCACAAGAACCTGCCAACACCACACCAGACTTTCAACACCCTGCTTTTTTTTTTTTTAATCTAGTTCCCAGTGCCTTTGTCGGCACACACTGCATCTTCCATAGAACAGCAAGCAAATATTTGACCAAAGGTTTTGCCAACATATAACTAGAGGTAGCAGGTTTCCAGGCTGTTATACCTGAATTCATATCCCCCCTCCTCCTCCTTAATCATCCTCCTCCTCCTCCTCCTCCTCCTCCTCCTCCTCCTCCTCCTCCTCCTCCTCCTCCTCTTTCTCTCTATCTATCTTTGGTACCAGAGATTGAACTCAGGGGCCCTCCACCACTGAGCCACAACCCCAGCCCTATTTTGTATTTTATTTTGAGACACAGTCTCACTGAGTTGCTTCGTGCCTCGCTGTTGCTGAGGCTGGCTTTGAACTCACTATCCTTCTGTCTCAGCCTCCTGAGCTGCTGGGATTACAGGTGTGCACCATGGTGCTCGGTGACACCTGGATTTTTGATACCCAATACCTACCTTCTGAGAGTCTACTGGCCATGCATTTTGAAGTTGATCAATTGCCTTAACTAGTCAGTCTCCACCTTGTGGCATATTCTTTGAGCTAGACTTGCAGCTACACGTGGCTAATAAGGATCATGATAAAGCCAGACACTGCACTTATAAATGAAGATGAAGGTCTAGGTCAGTAGAGGGGTTCAAAAACATGGAGCAATTTGTGTTCTATAAAGATAAAAGCCTGGGGGTGTTTGTTGGTTAGTTTCCTTAAAGATATTAAGGACATGAATCTTAATCCAAATGAGATAGATAACCCTTATTATGTACATTTTGCTTGTTTAATTTACTTTGAACATTCCCATGACACTGAGACTTCAGGACTTTATAAACTCAGCATCTCCTCCTGCCCCAGGTCCACAGCAATTAGTCTTATGGCCATAAACAGTAATGGCTTTTCTTTGGGGAATGCGGGCTCCTGGTGACTGTGATGTCTCTGGAGAATGAGTTCTTTCTTTCTTTCTTTCTTTCTTTATTTATTTATTTACTTTTTTTTTAAAGAAAGGGTATTTGGGGCTGAGTTTGTGCCTCAGTGGTAGAGCACTTACCTAGGATGTGTGAGGAACTGGGTTAGATTCTCAGCACCACATATAAATCAATGAATAAAATACAGGTCCATCAACATCTAAAAAGAAATTTAAAAAACGAGGGAGTATTTGTACCCAAATGCAATAGATCAACGTCACTAACATACTGATAACAGATTTCATTATCATCAAGATAATGTGTATTTTCTTCAACAAGTTAAAGTTGTTGTTCTCTATTAACATAATTAAATCTCGAAAACATCTGAATGAGTAAGTGTAGTACAATATCATATATAAAATTTACATGACACACAGTATGAGATGCCACCCATGAAGCTACCTGAGTGGTCTTTTACTCAGTACTGAGCCATGGGGGACTTAGGTCTCCCTTGGGGAATGATTCCTGCTTTTCCATGTGTAGACTGCCCAAAGCGTGAGATCTCTGCCTTTGCTCTCCTAGTGGGTCAGCTCTCTCTGGACTTGGGCGTAATCCACTGGGAACTGGATAGCTCGCCTCCTACCTTATTTGGCAAAAGAAGGTTCCATGGAAAAATCTTTGATGCTTCCCCCATATAAATAAAGCAAACACAGACTCTCTTTTTCCAGTTTGGAAGCTGGACCCTTAAGGTGGAAGAGTGTCTGGGGCTGCCCTGAACAGGAGCTGAGCACGCCCCTTAGCCTTGAGTAATGGGGTGTGCAACTGGCATCCCCTGAA